ACTACCTTTACCAAATCGTGTTCACACACTTAACTCTCAGCATCAGAATATATCGTAACACTCCAATTCATTCCCAATGAATCAGACCTGACACAACTCTAAGCAATAGCAGGCATAGCATGGTAGGAACACATCAGTGGCTTCAATCAACTCCTACACATGCTAGTGGGTTTCAACTATTTACTGTGGCAATGACAGGTCATGCAGAGGAATGGGTTCAACTACCGCAGCACAAAGTAGCAGACGAACCGTTGTTGTCCTAATGCAGTAACTGAGAGCAGGAGCGAGAGAGTAGGGTTTTATCGAATGAACAAGGGGGTTTGCTTGCCTGGTAATCAACAAGGGAGGCACTGCTTCACAGACAGGTACTCTGGAACGTCTCCGGAGCAGGACCTATCGAGAAGGAACGGTGCCGGCAATCAATACACAATCATATGCAACAATATGATGCATGAACATGGCATGTAGATGTGATGCTGTTTGAGCTAATGCAACTAGTATTCAATTTGAATGAAGTCCATTTGAACAAAAGGTTCAAATGCAACTCCAAAATTACGTCTCTTAATGTGCCATAATGTGTTTTCTCATATTCAGCATGTATAAGTTGGTTTGTCATGCATGTAACTAGTACAGATGGAAAGATTGCATTTTTCTGATAATTTTTCATATATAAATTATTTTAATCTGAGCTACGGTTGAATTGTTATGAATTTTTGAAGTTTAAATCATTTTCTGGATTTTCTGAATTATTTTAATTCCAGAAAATATATAATTGCGTCAGCATGACGTCAGCACGACGTCAGCGGTTAACTGCGGCTGGCTGGGGTCAAACCTGACGTGTGGGGTCCACACATCAGTGACAGGGGGTTAAACAGGGTTAGATTAACTTAATTAACAGATTAGGGGGGGTCGGGCCCACTGGTCAGTGTTAGTGGCTAATTAGGTTTAGTTATTTTTTTAACTAAAATTAGCAGGGCCTGGCCCCACTAGTCAGCGACCCTGGGGGGTCAAATCCCAGGTCAAACAAGTCAAACCCGCCGGCGGTTAGTCGCCGGCGAGGCCTGAATGCGACGGAGGGCTGCGGAATCGTCGCTCCGGCGACCAATCGCGCGGCGGAGAGCACCTACGCGAAGCCCAGGCTCGCGCGCATCCTGTGGCGCCATCTGTTTCACCGGAGACGGTCTATATCGCCGGCGGCGACCACTTGGGCGGCGACCGGAGTTTGGGATAGCGCGGGCATGGGGCTGCAGCTCACGTTCGAGCGAACGGAGGGCACAGGCGGTAGCTACGAGGCAGCAGGAGCACATCGAGCTACTACGCGAGGCGGAGGTGCTCGGGGGCACGGAGCTCGCCGGCCATGGCGGACGGCGGCTTCGGGCGCTCGCGGGGCAGCGGCTACAGGGCACGCGCGAGAGAGAGAGGTGAGGGGAAAGGAAGAGGGGCTCACAGCGGACTCGCAGAGCAGGCCGGTGTGCTCGGGGACGTCCTGCGTCCGGCGAATCGACGGCGATGGCGGCGAGGTCGATCTCCGGCGTCGGTGGTGAAGAAGACAACGGCGTCGGCGATGGAGCGCGTCCGGAGGTGCGTGGCTTGACGAGGAGGTAGAGGGGGTCGTGGCGGAGCTGGGAAGCGTGTCAGGGAGGCGAGGGGAGGCCGGTGGCCACGACAACGGCGAGCGGCGGCGGCGATGGCGCTCGGGTGTGCGAGGGAGAGAGAGAACCAGGGGAGGGGGAGGAATGAGAGAGTGGGAGAGAGATGCGGGGCGTCGCGTGGCGTCGTCCGGTCCATCCAGAGCGACGAGGGGAGGACAGGCAGGCAGGGAGGGAGGAGGTGGCGCGGCGCGGCGGTGCGCGCGCGTCGGGCACGCGCCGTCCCCCTGTCGGGGAGGAAGACGACAGAGGAGGGGGGGCCAGGTGGGCTGGGCCGCCTGCTGGCTGGGCCGGCCTGCTGCGGCTGGGCCGACAGGGGGGAGCCCCAGGTAAGCCCCTCCTTCTTTTTATTTTTGTTTTCTAATTTTTCTGACATTGTTTTGATTTAATAAAATACTAAATCAATTTATTACCTTATGCCAATTTTTGCAGGAGCTAGATATATTATTCCAGAGCTCCTTTATAAATGGCATAATTTTTGGACCATATTTCATATATATAGAAATATATTTCCAATGCAAATATTTATCGGATTAATCCAAATGGCCAAAATTAAATATCCATGAGCTCCTAAAAATATTGGTTTGATTTTTATCTCTGTCCAATATTTTCAGAGAGCAACATGAGCATTTTCTTGGACCTTTTTGAAGAAATTTTTATTTGGGTCATTTTCAAAAATGATTCTGAGGGTTCCACCAATCCTCATTTCAAGTTTAAATGAGATTTAAACATGATGCACAAATGACTAGCTAGTCTAGGTCATACCAGACTAGGGATGTGACAAGCGTTCACCCTAAATTTCATATCAGATCACACATCTTTTTTTCTAAGAACAAGTGCAATAATTTGGGGCTAAAAAGGATGCGACTTGGAGTGGAGATCCCTCAAAAAGCAAACTACTACTTGTCCCTGTTTATATATGAAATCTAAAAATGCACCAGTCCGCCGCTCCGGATGCATGAGATCGATCCAGCGGCAAGCAGGCGTAGAGCTGTGCTGTTCGTCCTTGTTGTTCTCTTCTCCCCGTCGGGCGAGATCCCACTCCACGCAAGAAATTGAATCTATATCGGAGTCCTTCGCGAGCCGCCTTCGAGATGTTCTACACAGTATGAGTCGTGGAGTTTTTTTTTCTTTTTAAAGGGAGTTGTGGAGTCATGGGTAGACTTACCTTACCCTATAGCGCATGCCCGGCAAAGGTGATTTTTTTTTATTTGGTGCACATTACATGAAACTTTCCCGTGTCGTGTTACGCTTTCAAATAGACACATGAAAGTTACGCCCAGGAACGGCAACCTCGCTGCATCCTCCGTGTTCACTTCACAGAGTTCAGCCAAAGGGCGACAATCTCGTTCATTTTCGCTGCAAGTGCGGCGTCTACTATTCACTGATGCTGCGGGATTTTAAAACGACAGGCTAAATGAAACACCGAACAAGCAGTGTAAAGGCAGGATTCAGGTTTTTTCTACAACCCCGTAAACGGGCCTGGAAGCAACTTCCCTCAACACAAATCAAAGCAGTAACAAAAGTCAAGCTAATATACTCACGAGTTTTATATATAAAAAAAAGATAACATTCAGTCCACCCAAAACTTCTAGATGTACCAGCTGCGCATTGACAACTATACTATGCGCCTATGAGTTAAGGGTATGGCACCAAATATCGAAAAAAGCTTTCGCCCTGCTTTATATATAAAGCACCAAACCACAAGCATCCAATACAACCACACGCCATGCCACCGCAACACACGCACACATCCAAGACATGATGCATAGGCGCTGAGCGTAGCAACACCACTCCTAGCACTACCGCCCCGAAGATATGAAGCTACATATGACGAACCATGCGCTTCAAGGCGGCGCCTTCAGGAAGGATACGACGCCGAAGCGCCGCCATCGCCCGATCCAAGGATCAGAGTTTCCCCCGGAGCCGCATGACGGGGCAATGTGAGCCGCGACGACGCCTTCAAGAAGGGAACGATTTCGCCGCCGCCGGTCCGTCCGAAGATAGAGCAGGTTTTCATCTCGGCCAACAATCACCGCCACCGAACGCCAGACCCCAGCAACCACGCCGCCCACACGACCATGATGACCGGGCAGCACCAAGGCACGGGCTTTGTCCAAGAGCACCGCGCAACCACCACCACCAGGGCCGCAACCCCAGCATCCAAGACCTCAACACCACCTCACCCGTGACCCGCCGCCCCCCAGAGAAAGAGACGAGCGGAAAGGTCCACCTTTCGCGCCCCTGGGCGACCCCAGTGTTGAGACCCAATAGGTCGGCCAGAACTGGCATCCACCAACCCATCCTGCTACCCCAAACGCGAGATGAGCTCGGTCCTGCAGCAACGAGAGGGGGGACGAGGTCAGTCCTGCTGCATCGTGCGCGAGACGAGCTCGGTCCTGTTGCATCGTGTGCGAGACGAGTTCTGCCCTGCTGCATCGGGCGCGAGACGAGCGGTGGACCGCAGTTGGGAGAGGACCAGCCCTTTGATGGGAGTAGCGTCCGGGCGACGAGGAGATGGGGTGAAGGTCGAGACGGCCTGAACGCAGACAAACCGACGCCGGAGAAGTCGGCCGTTGCCGCGGACAGATCCATCGAGCCACCGTGAAACCGCCACGACACCGGTAGGCCACCGAGACCTGCCCATGCCGCCGCCCACAGCCGAAGCAGCAGCCACGCCTGGCGAGCTCCAAGCGCCGAAGCCGCCGGGCACGCACCACCGGAGCCACCGCCACTGCGCCGCCACCCCGACCACCCTCCAGCACCACGACCAGGAGCAGCCCGACGCGCCACCACCACCACCCTCCAGCGCCCGACCAGCAGCAACCCGACGCACCACCACCACCCTCCAGCGCCGCCGGTCGCCCAAGACGCCATCAACCACCACCGACCGGATCTGGGCATGAAACCCCAGATCCGCAGCCTACACGCCCCGCCTCGGCCACGGGCACACAGCAGCGAGCGAGGGCGCAACGGGAGCGAGGCCACGCCGGGAGAGGCCCCCAGCTACCGGGGAGGAGGTCGGAGCCAGGGACGATTGCGGCACCACGCCATGGCAAGGAGGGCGAGCCCCGCGACACACCACGCCAGCCAGGGAGGGAAAGCAGCCCCGCCGCCGCCGACGCTTGCCCGTGCGGCGCCCGCCGGCGACGGCGAGGGGAGGAGGGGCGGGAGGAGGGGCCTTTGGCCGGCGGCGGAGAGGGGCTCTCCCGGGTCGCCAGCGGGGGACACGGGAGGAGAGAGGGGAATTTCACAAGTTGAACTAAAAAACTCTCGTATGGCACCAAATGCAAGGCTCCACAACATCTAGTTTAACTCTAGAACGAACTTTTCCCACGATGTATTTTCCGATTACCAAGACCGCTGTATGGGCATCCGTGGCTCTATGCAAGAAGGAGCATTTACGGGACCGCGGTCAGAACACCGGAGACCACCACCGGTGGTGTCCAGTGCAAGACGCTCTGATGCTGGGTTTTCAAGAATATGGCACGCCAGCTCAACCAAGCTCTTTGAAGAGCAGAACCGAGATATCTTCACTGTCTTGAGCTTGTCAAGCATGTATCCTGGCAACTTCCTTAGACGTGGCGGATCTTTATAAAGCAATTCATCAATGCATTCTTGCCGTATCAGTACCTGAAAATAAAGAAAATAGTTTAGGTAACTTGAATAAATGGTTCAACTACAGAGGCTCGTTATATTTGTTGGATAAGTGCATTCAAGAATATTTGCAGGATGAACGGTGACCTACATTCAGTGTGAACATCTCCAAGGAAGGAGCGGCATCAAGAAAAGAAATCAGAGAAAAATAATCGTAGTCTCCATGAATACTAATACTCAGGTACTTCAGGTGGAGGAACTTGCTAGGCGCCAATGCCATTGTTGTATTTACCACCTGCAGAAATATGCCACATGTTAATTAATATTCCAAGGTACCACTAAAAAACACAGAAGGTTCCCTTCCAAGAAAAAGATCACAAAGAGTTTTAGTACATACCTCATGGTATGAAAATATGCTAAAAGTTTCAAGATTCGGCGCAATGGATGGTAGCTCTTCAAGTGCATAATAGAGGAGGCGGCAACAGAGCATCTCTAGGTTCTTCAGTTGCAATGATTCTCCAAGTGAGAACTCTACATTGTGAAATGTTGTAAAGTGAAACCTACAAATATTTGGAGCTTCGATCTTTATCGTTCGCAGTTTGTGGCATTCTAACACATGCACGGAACTGAGCCGCTGCAGCTGGGAAGGTATCTTCAAGTAAGTTATCTCGGAGCATTCCCTGAGTTCCAAATGCTCCAAAGCAACACAGCTGGAAAAAATGTACCCTAACTCGTTCCCTGTAATTCGCACACAGTCGAGAAACAGCACTGTCAAGCTTCTCAAGCAACCAAGACTGACTGTAGGATGGAAGGCACAGTAAGCAAGGTGAAGATACCACATCGAGCTTCCATTCCCATCAGATAGAACTTGGCATGGGAAGTTGACTTCCTCTCTCTCAGGAATCGCAAGGGTGAGTTTTTCAATGCCAGGTTTAACCACTATCTCAAGCCACCTATGGAGATATTTATAGCCATCAGACTTGTAGAAAAAGGGGAAATTAAGCTCGAATGCCTTCACGCCAATGCCAGAGTGTTTTTCCAAAATGTGATCAACTCGGCAGGTGAAATCCATGCCATCCCGCAACACTATTGTTCGAGTATTAAATATGAGGTTGGGATAGCTTTTCCAAGAACTTCCAAAGGCACGAGATACGCAGGCAGCACGGGCAGCATCTCGTATCGTCATTAGGGAATGATTATGACACCAAATGTCCTGCATCAAGAAGATTGGAAGAAGAGTTAAAGATTATAATTGTAAAATAAAATGCCTTCCTTCGTTAGTGTGAAGGGAGGGGGAGCCAATAGAAGCATAGTGGCATTTGAGTAAACTGAGCATTGGATAGACAAGTTTTTTTCCCTACTTATTATAGAGTTGGTGCGATTTGACTCTTTATTTTGCTTTTTTTAGCCCTACCTATACCTCAGTCTTATGAAAAAGAGAAGGGGTTGGTAGTGTTATGAGTCAACAATAGCGGTTCACTACCTCTGACAACTTTTGATCACTAAGATCAGAAGATTTACTACCTCTGACAACTGCTGTTACCAGCACAAAGCTTTACTAAGTTCTACTACCTCTGAATTTTCATATATTATACATAGTTGTATCGTAGATCTTTGTGGATTTTTATATAGACTTGGTCTTGACTTATGGAAATCCTAGAACTTCGATTATTTTGGAACGGAGGGATAATCAACAATCTCTCGTCTTAAATAAATATATACTTAATGTGCATTAAAGTTCTGAAGTTCATTTGCGACCTTTTGCATTTGAGTGCAAGCAGTGTGGGTTTTAATCTGGAGAAAGTTTGTGGCTGTCTTTGTGGCACTTCTGCTCCAAAGGCTGTTGAACATGGGAATCAGAAATCTCCAGAATTTGAAAAAAGCGACATCCCAAAGGCGAGAGTTTGCTTAAGGGCATAATATGTTGCACTGAATCTGGAACAGAACAATTAATTTTCTGCTCTTTAACAAGACTCGTGACAGACAGTTTTCTGACGCGGAGATGAATCCTGGAACAATTGGAATAAAACAGAAGTACTAATGCAGCAGGACCACACGCAAAAATAAATACAGTAAATAAAATCTCATTTGCTAGCTAGCATAGGTCGTCAGATCAGCTTGTGCCATTCAAATTCATGGAAGGATGTGTTACCTGTGGAACTGCGAGTTCCTTCCCTGAAGACCCCCTTCTTTTGCTATCGTGAGAACCATCATCTCGTTGAGAACTTTTCCTTTTTCTTATAGCCAATGACGAGGAAGCCGATCCATCTACAGCAGAAAATCTAGATTATTCTAAATCAAACCACGCGTTTTATTATTTTCTACCAACAGGTGGGATTTGGGGCTAAACAAGACGCGACTTGAAGCGGAGATCCCTCAAAAAAAGTAAGCCTTTTGTTGCGGCTTATATATAGTACTTCCTCCGTTCCTAAATATAAGTCTTTGTAGAGATTTCATTATGAACTATATACAGATGTATGTAGATGCATTTTAAGTGTGGATTCATTTATTTTGCTCCATATGTAGTCCATCTAATGGAATATCTATAAAGACTTACATTTAGGAACGGAGGGAGTAGTATCGATCTGAAATTGAAAGCGCACCAGTTGGCTGCTCCCGACGCATGGGATCCAGCTGCAAGCAGGCGTCGAGGTGTGCTGTCTTTCCTCTTCTTCGTCTCTTCTTCTCCGCATGGCGTTCTTTCTTACTCTGCAAATTTGTTGACATGAGCCAAGCAACAAGGCGAACGCTGCAGAAAGGAGAAAATCTGCAGGATATGAGATGTGTCGACGGACAAGGCGGCGTGACGAGGAAAAGCAATCGAAGCGCCCGAGAGGAAATCAAGGCGTGCTTCTACACGGTACGAGTCGTGGAGGTCACGTCAAAAGTTTTCCCGAATAATGCCACACACGTGGCACGATCACTCCTGTCCTTGGAATGTGGAAAACCAACTGGCCATGGCAGATCAGAGCCTATGATGAAACCCAGTTCTTGGTCAGATTCCCCCCCAACAAAAAAATCTCTGATTTGGTTGCTTTCAAATTTATCAACCTGAAAAAGAAAGGTGTTACTATCTCCTTCAAAGACTGGCATGGTGAACTACCTGCTTATGATTCTCTCAAAGAAGTGTGGATTAACATCATTGGTATTCCCCCTGTCTGGTGCACCTGGCCAATTATTTCTCAGATTGCCTCTTTCCTAGGTGTCATTGTCAATATTGACTGGCATGAGATCTTCAGGAGCTTCTATGAAGTGGTTAGAGTACAAGTTGCTGTGAGAGAACCTCAGCTCATCCCCAAAGGTAGGTTGTTTGAATTCCAACAGGAGTTATATTTACTCAACTTTGAGGTTGATGAGGACACAACTATTGAGTCTCCTAACCATAAACCCTCAGATGGTCCCCCTGGTCCATCTGTTGGCCCTGGAGGCTTTGGGAATGCTGATAAAGATGGGGATGGAGATAATGACAGCGATAATGATCTACTTGGGGAGGAAATGGAGCAAGATGCTAACAATCAGATGGCCAAAAAAACTACTCCTGCCCCAAGTGGAGCTAAAACTAAGTCTGGTTGTCCCCTCCCCCTACCCCTGTTGTTCAGTCCTTTTTAATCTCATCTAATATCCAGGGAGCCCCTGTGACTAAAAGTTATCTGGATGCTGCTAAGAAACATCATTATGAAGGCTGTGGTAACAGTTTACTAGTTCAATTTGAAGCTGTGAAAGATGGCCCCAGAGACTTTGGCCCAAGCTCCTTGGCTCCCTCCATCACCACCCTTTCTTGCCCTGCTCCTAGACCTCAGGTCCATAGACCTGGTAAGGGAAAATGGGGCCCTGTTGTTGCCACTAGGATGAGCAACAGGATTGTTAGAGATGGCAAGAATATCATTGCCAAGGCCCACGAGATCAAAAGAGTTCAGAACCTGGAGGTTACCAGAGGTAATACTTCTGTTGTCTTCAAGAATTCTTTTGCTTGCTTAGACAATGAACTTTTGTTACATAATGCTGAATTATCTGGCCTAAAACTTGGAGCTGATGCTTCTAGCTGCAACAACAATATTGAGATTATTAAACAGATAGAACTCAAGAGGTTGTCCAATTTTCATCAGGATAACCCTGAATTTTCCCCCTCCTGACATTGATGTCAATGGAGTAGATACTTGTGATAACAATAAAGACACTGAGATGGATCCCCCACCTGACACTGATAATAATTCAGAAGAGGAGGAGGGTGAAATTCCTTGGATGGAAGTATCCCATCAAAGGACTAAGAAGTGTCTAGCTAGGTGTAGATATTTTAAAAATAATTCCTTATGATTGGAGCCTTCTGGAACATTAGAGGCCTGAATGGCTCATCTAAGAATACCAGAGTTCAAGAGCTCATTAAAGCTTGTTGTCCTGATTTTATTTGTCTCTCTGAGACTAAAAAAGCTAATTTCACTATCCCTCAACTAGAAGCTATTGATTCTAGAAGTGGATTTGTGTGGAATTGGCTACCTGTTGTTGGTACTGCAGGTGGTGTTCTAGTAGGAGTTAAAGAAGATATGTTTGACATTACTCAGTGTGATATTCATACCTTCTGCATCTCATGTATATTGAAGTTCAAGAACAAATACACTAAATGGAGATTGATCTCTGTTTATGGGTCTGCTTATGATGAGTCTAAGCTTGATTTCCTTAATGAACTTAATAGTGTCTTAGCTGAGTGGTCTGGCCCTACCTTAATTGGAGGGGATTTCAACTTGGTCAGGGACACTAGTGAGAAAAATACTGGTAACATTAATCAACACTGGGCTGACCTATTTAATGATTGGGTCAATAATTTTGGTCTCATTGAGATTAAGAATGCTGGTAGAAGGTTCACTTGGGCTAACAACTAGGATAACCTCATTATGGCCACCCTAGATACGGTTTTTGTTTCTGTTGATTGGGAGGGCCTCTTCCCTGGGGCTGCTATTAAAGCCCTTCCCAGACTTGGTAGTGATCACACCCCTTTGGTGTTGAACACATCCACTGGGCCTCCCACCCTTCCTCTGAATTCTTTAGATTTGAGAAATGGTGGCTAGATATTCCTGGCTTTGATGAGGTCATTCACAAAGCTTGGAACACTAAGTGTAATGCCACCAAAGCCATTGATATTTGGCAGTTTAAAATCAGAACTACCAGGAAAGCTGCAAAAGGCTGGTGTGCTAATTATGAAGCAGATCAGAATAGGACTAAGCAAGCTTTGGTAGCTGAATACAACTGTTTAGACATTTTAGCTGAGTCTCAACCTTTATCCCCTAATTCTAAAAGCAGGATGAAAAATATTGCAGGTGATTTAAATGAGATATGGAGGAGGGAGGAGATCAAGGCTAGACAGAGATCCAGGGAGAAAGAAATACTAGAGGAAGAACTCAACACTAGCTATTTCAAAGCAGTAGCCAATCAAAAGAGGAGGAAAAAACAAATTGCTGTATTGAAACACCCTCAGGCCCTATTGGAGACACCCAAGGTATTCTGCATTTAGCTGTAGATGATTATAAAAAGCTTTTTGGTTTTGTTCCTACTATTGATATTGACCTTCAAGATGACTTCTGGGATCAGGATAGTTTACTTTCCTCTGATCATTTTAATTTGCTAGAAAAAGCCATTTTCTTAGGAGGAAATTAAGGCTGCTGTCTTTGGCTCATATGCTGAGGGAGCTCTTGGCCCTGATGGCTTCCCTTTTCTTTTCTACTAGAAATACTGGGATTTAATTAAACATGACCTGTTTGCTCTTTTTGGAGACTGGGAAGCTGGAGAACTTGACCTTTACAGGTTCAATTTCTCTCTTTTGACTTTGGTGCCTAAAGAACCAAATGCAGTTAAACTAGATAGGTTCAGGCCTCTAGCTATGATTAACTACAGTTTTAATTTTTTTCCAAGTGTGCCACCAATAGGTTTGGCCCTATTTGCAATGTTCTCATTTCTCCCAACCAGACTGCTTTCCTGAAAGGTAGATTCATTCTTGAAAGCATTGTGGCTGCTCATGAGGTAGTTCATGCAGTGGCCTCAAATAAAGAGTCTGGATTTTGCTTCAAGTTAGATTATGAAAAAGCTTATGACATGATTAGTAGAGAATTTCTTTTGAAAATGCTGAAAAAGAGAGGCTTTGGCCCTATTTGGATGTATAAGCTTGAATCTTTACTCTGCAATGGATCTGTGGGTGTCAGGATTAATGACACTAACAGTGAATATTTC